CGACGCAGCGGGAAGGGCCTTCTGGCTGTGGCCGGCCGGTCTTTCTGCCTTCTTCCCCCTCCTGTACTCTTCCTCCCCAGTCCCTCCCCTCCCCACCCCCTTCCCTCCTCCGGCTCCTGCCTCTGAGGCCGCACGGGTGCAGGAGGCTATGGAGTAAGCCCGCGGTATCCGCCAGGCACCGAAGCTGAGCAGGAGCAGCCAGGACGCTTTTGGCGAGGCGGGGAAAACCAGTCCCAGCACCGCCCCTCCCGGGAGGAGAGGGGAAGAGGTAAGTGACCGCCCATGGGCACCGAGTGACCTCCCTCACCCGCCGCGCTCCCGCCTGGGCTTCCGAGGCCGGCGAGGAGGGAGTGGGGACGGACCCGCGGCGGGACTAGGCCTCCCAAGGCCCCCGGGGCTGGCGGCTGAGGGCCGGGCTGGCGGGGCGGTGGGCGGCTTTTTTTTTAGGGGAGCGGCGAGCTCCGGAGAGCGGATCCGAGAGGCCCGAATCCTCGGAAGAGGCCTTTAAGTGACGGGAGACCCGGGACCAGAGCCTTCTGTCGCAGAGAGAGCCCCGGCTCTGGACCTCCAGTTTCCGTGGTGGAGCTCTTGGTTCCCTTTTGGGAAACTGGACACTACTCCGGGACTGGGTGAGACAGCACCCCTCAGTTCTGAGGTCCTCCTCTGATAACCTGGGTTACCTACCAAGGCCCTACCGCCCGGCGTCCTTTTTTGACAGCTATAGTTCTGGAACGGAAGGTTATTGTGTTTGAGGTGGGTGGGGCAGGTGTTTTGTTAAGACTAAAAACTCCTTAGGTACCTCCTGCACTCTTGTTTTTCTAAGCCGGAGAGAAAGGATGGAGGAAGGTGTACACCGATAAAGCTTGCAAAAACTTCTTGGGATCGGACTGAATGCATGTCTATGGTTAGTAATTAAAGAGACTAATATTGTCAAGTCAGCTCCTGTAACAGTCTTCCTGAGACTCCAGACTCAAGCGACTTAAACGCGCTATGTCAGTAGTTACAGTTGAAAATCACAAGCTGTTTTTCAGTAGAGCAAATTCAAGAGTTACCTGTATGATGGCTTGATTTACAAATTGGATTTTATGAGTAAGACGTTTTCTAAGACGCGTTCTCATGCCTCTCCACTTTGGAGAATTAACGTAGCTTTACAGTCTCACTGTAAAACCCAATTATGCGCCGGTAATAGTTTGAAAGTCAGGTGCTTGAAACTACATTTTGGACTCTGCAGGCCTTTTTGTTTGTTCGTTTGGCTTCCTGTCTTATTCTTTAGTATAAAGTTTTTTAAAAGTTTAAAAATGATTTATCAGCTGAGTATAGGTAGAATTCTTGACAATATTAAATTGTGCTCAGGTGCTTTTGCGGGATTGCGTAAAGGAAAGGAAACTGATAGAAAGTTAAGATTTTCATTTTACGCAGATCCACTTTCCACACATGCAGAAATCTATTCTTTTGTCTCTTAAGATCCACGAACAACCAATAAAATAAGTACAGGAACATTGTACTTTCACACAATGGAATTTTTCCGTACAAGCCAACCCTATAATTGGGAATAACTACTCATGCTCACATGTTTGAAATTCATGATTTCCCCCCACCCCCCAAGAAAAGTAGGTCCTCTTATTGTGTTTAACTCAAGTGACTGGCTGCATCATTCATCCTTTTCCATAGGAGTAGAAGTTTGACAGCTTCCTCTCTCTTGCCTCATATCTCTCATGAAGTCCTGTTGATTTTGCCTCTTGAATATCTCTGAAGTCTTCAAGACTAGAACTCTAGTTCCAGCTACCATGGTCTGTCATCTTAAGTATCACTAGCCTCCTAATTATGGTCTGTCTACCTACAATTATTTTTTCACACCAGACAGAGTGACTTTTTAAAAATGCAGATCTAATCAGTTGTCTCCATGTTTAAAACCTTTCAGTGGCTTTCATTGTTTTTAAGAGAAACTAAAATCCTTAACAGCTGTTTGGGTCCCCTGATCGCCTTTCCAACATCATCTCCACAGTGCTTTCTGACATTTCTTTCTCTTCTAGTCACTCAGTTCTGCTTCAGGTACATGGCTTTTGTTTAGAAGCTTCCTCTTTCTGGAAATGCACTTCCCTTCCTTTTCATCCATTTGATGCCTACTCATCATTCAGCTCACTTCAGGAAGATTTTCCCAATTAGGATAGATTCCCCTAATTATATGCTCTGATAACACCATTGCAGAGTTGCCATATTCATTAATACTTAAATTAATGAGATGTTCATCATCTTCTACTGTGTAAGTGCTTAATAAATGTTTGTTGGATGATTGAATTCATTGAATACTTACTAAATATGCCAAGAATTGTACTATTTTATGTGCATAATTGTCTTTAATCCTCAGAATAATCACTTGAGGTATGGGAGTGGCATTTCCCCGTTTTTAAAAGTTAGAAATAGTGTTAGGGAGTCTAGTTGGTGGTCACAGTGCTAGTAAATATTAGGACTAATATTTGAATCCAGGTTTCCTTGCCACTGAAGATTGCATTTTGAATCATATAACACTTGATTATCACACTGTGCATCAGAATTACCTGGGGGAGCTGCTTAAAATACAAATGCCCTAACTGCACATTGTGGATTCTGATTCCAAAGGTTTGAGGTAGTACATAGTCATCTATGTGGTTTCACAGGTTATTCGGTCATTAGATGTTATTAGATGTATTTAAATGTTCACCAGAGTTCGAAAACTAATGTCTTGGAGTTTGAAAACCATTGTCTTAGACAATAATTCCTTCTCCAGCTGAAGGAACTGAATAGTGAGATGCAGCCACTGTAGTGCTGTTGCTACTTTTTTTTAAAATTGCAATATTAAGAATGACTTCCTGTAGTAAAAATTATACCACATACAGGGGCTGGAAGTGCCTTCAAAGAGTTGGATATAATCTCTCTTCAGATCTTGTTCAAATTACTGATTTGGTATTTAAGCACATGCTGCTTTATAATCTCTCATGTTGCTTTTTAAATCTTATTGTACAGCGGTCTACAGTTTGAGAACAGTGATGGAAACTAAATATTTTACTTTTTGTTTCTTCTACTGTACCTAGCACAGTGCTTCAACCTAGTAGGTACCAATAATTTGTTGAATTGGTTGTGTGCTTCACTGTACATTGCTAAGTCTCTTCAGTTTTTTATGTTTGTTTCTTAAATCAGGTTCGTCTCCTGTAAGTAATCTGTTCTAACTCAATGATATAATTAGATACTTTCTCTGGTTGTAAAGAGAATGATTATACTCAGTTTGTATAATCTTGTTTTTCTGAATAATATTAAACATGACTTCTATATAGAGCAAAGGATAGTATTAACCATTTTTTTAAAATTATGTATTTTTAAAATTTCTACTAATCTCTCAGTGCTCTTACTAGGAAAAACAAAACAAAACATATGTTTCAAGAATATATCTCAGGATCATCTTACTTTAGCCATAAAAAGATAAGCACTGCACATAGGAGTATAAATATAAAGATTTTCCCCAAATTTTATGAAGCATTTTACCAAAGGCGTTTATGTCCTGTTAATGTAATTCTTATTTCAGATTACAAAATTTTATGAATACTTAACTATTTAAATGACTATGTAAGTGGTATTCTTTTACTTTTAGGCAAAATCTCAGACCCTTGTGCCTCTTTAAGGAATAAAACTGTGTTGAGTTTATTTGTATTAGTGTTCTTTGTAGTCAATGTTTATTATTTTGTGCTTTTTGAAAGTCTGGTCTCTGCTAGTTGCCATGAAACTAACAGTTATTAAACATAATTTCATTATCAGATATAATACAGTAACCTTTTAATCTGCATTACAGTATTTCCAATAAAAATACAAGCTAATTCTGTTCTTAAATGTTTTATTCTTGGTGAATTAAGAATTCTTTTTGCATTTATGTTACTTGAAAATTCAGGAAATTTTTTTTTTAGCATAAATATAGTTTTATCTACTATATTCTTGCTGTGTCTGAGTATGAGTAGGAAGAACTGAAAGAATTGCCAATTACTTTTAGCTCCCTGCCATCAGGCACTGTAAGACTTAATCCACCTTCTGTCAGGTACATATAAAATCTAGTATTACAGCAGATTTACTTACTGTTTCTTCTAAATGCCAAGTGATGGCTGAGCCAAATAGTAGAAAGTTATAATCTTGGAAGCATACTGAAGCTCTCCCAAATCTTATTTTGGCTGAGATTTAGGAGAGGAAGATGATTGAATTTCAAGTGAATACTAAATGATATACAAGGGGAAAATGTCTTATGCGAATAAATGTTTCTGTCATTTATAACTTTGTCTTTTGACAAATAAAGAAATAAAGGCTTATTTCTTCATTAATCAAGTGAAAATTTGAAAAGCTATGATTTTAAGAAAAAATATTTGGATTCTAGATTTCTTACATGTCAAAGGCTGTTGCTATTAATTCAAAATCTCATTTGAGTTCAGGTCTTATTTTATAAGCTCATTTAGTTCATTCTGTCCTTAGACTTCTGTTACTCGTGATATTCTTCTTGAGTCTCCTTGGGCGACTGTTTCAAGCTCACAGTCTTAACTACTGTACTGCTTTTAAGCTTATGGTGCCTAAATTTTGATCTTCAATCGAGACTTTTTAAAAAAGTTTTTGGCTAGCATATTTGTTATTAAGGCAACTCGAATTCAACATGTCCAATATTGATGTCTTTCTCCTACAAAACAAATAATTGTCTCCTATAAGTTCTGCCTTGGTGAATGGTTTTCCCCTCCACCTAGACTATGAAATTGGAGACTTCATTGGGATTAGTAGTTTTGTCCCTTTCCATTATCTAATTAGTCACTAAGTTCTGTTAGTTGTACCTCGTACTTGTTTCTTAACTTTTCCTTTCTTTTCCTTCTTTACTGCTATTTCCTTAATTCAGCAACCTCTGGCTCT